CCACATATTTAATTCCTAAATTTAAATAGTTAATTAATTAATATTTTAATATTTAAATTCTTGACCAATCAAATAATGCCAAGTGTCAAATCCTTATTCTTGGTAAATAAATCATATCTTCTAGAAGATCTTGGAAGATTTAAGTGGATCTAGAAGATCTTGGGAGATCTAAATAGATCTTAAAGATCTTATGTGAATCATCATGGACCAATCAAATTGCGTCCTACGATTCTTAAATTTGGTAGGGTGCTCTCTCCTACACCTATAAATAGGGGCTCTCCCTAATGTCAAAAACACACATCATAATTCATATTTTGAAGTTCAAGAGCTCTAGAGAATTCTCTCTACAAGTTTCAAGTGTTCTTGAAGATTCGAAGCCATTCTTGAAGATTCGAAGGAAGATTCAAGCACATTCAAGCTCAAAACTGACGTTTAATCCGGAAACAAGCTGTCAAGCCTCCGAATTACGTTCATATTCAAGTTCAAGTTCAAGATCTCTCGACGAGATTCAAGTGTTCTTGAAGATTCGAAGCCGTTCTTGAAGATTCGAAGGAAGATTCAAGCACATTCAAGCTCAAAACCGACGTTTAATCTGGAAACAAGCTGTCAAGTCTCCGAATTACGTTCGTATTCAAGTTCAAGTTCAAGATCTCTCGACGAGATTCAAGTGTTCTTGAATATTCAAAGGCGTCCTTGAAGATTCAAAGCAAGATTCAAGCGCGTTCAACCTCAAGATTGGTGTTCAATCATGAAACAAGCTGTGAAGCCACCGAATAACATTAGCAAATTCAAAACCGGCGTGAAGAAGATTCGAGATCTACTTTGCGGCGAAGACCAAGGATTCGCGTTCTTGGGATATTTTGACGTTTGATCCGAGAAAAAGCTTTCAAGCCCTCGGATTACGTTAATTTAAGTCAAATCAAGTCAAGGAGAAGATCAAGCTGAAGATTTCGCTCCAAGACTTAAAATATTGTTTGTGAGAAGAATCAGAGGAATAATAGAGATTGTAACCCGCAATATATTATTTTGATTCAAGAATTTCATTTGAATAA